TCTGAAGAGAAGGGAAAAGTACTTCATAGTAGAAAGAAAATAGCACGCACAACGCGGCGTCGTTACGCCATCCATTCTACCGTGTTCTACCGATTCAATGGTGGGTAACTACACAGCCAGACGAGCAAATATATATTAGGCAGACAATTTAACAGACAGCACTCAAGCTACAGATAATTGCAGACAAACTCCAGACTCAAGAGAGATAGCGCGCGAATCCCAGTCGCCGCCTTGTCAATGATAAACGTGCACGATAATGGTAGCAAACCTTTACGCACGTATTACAGATAATAACATGATCAAAGATATTTAGCACAACAAGCAATTGCAACTGATACTACCCAGCTAGCGGTCACTGATCTAGCGTTGCATCGGCAGCAAACGTGAATCGTACATTGCTAGACAGAACTGGCAGCCAGAAAGGCATCAAATAACCGACAGTGGATTTGAATAATCTCAGTTCATTTATTCCACTTGGTATCTATCTGCCTACGACTAAAAAAGCACGTATGCGAACAAAATTGTTATACACACTTTCCGCTGTCAGGTCAACTCAAAAGAAGACTAAAAGAACGACAGCTGGCAACAGGCGCCTAGTTTAGCGCAGCAGTTTAGCATTATTCAGCCGCCCGTGTCAGAACAGACAAAGGTGACTGACAACAGCAGCAGCAGCAGCAGCATTTGGGTCCTATAGACATCACGCGCTGGGGTACCTTGCATTGTGTATTAAATAGAATAAACAAACGTTTACACGCTTGCGTGTACATATACAATCATAGAGAACATTATAGATAGATAGATGTTTCGTTAAAAGGTGGTCCATCGCTGTTTATAACTTCCCGTCTACGTTATTGGAAGTAAGATATAACTATGAGCGAAAGTGTTTCATTACATGTGCAGACCAGCCCATCTGGGCCTCACAACGATGTGGATCAAATTTTTATCTGACTGTTTGTTCACCAGACTTACACGGAATCTGTGTGTTCATTCACCGGTGCTGAATCGGATAGACGTGACCGCATGGTCGACGATCGTATTCACTCACTGGCTATCATTAATACTACTCCAATAGTCTACTTTGAAAACAAATGCATACCATCCTAAATTACAGAGCAAATTAGGTAAATACACAACTCTATTAAATCGATATGAGCATAAAAAATGAGCCGTCGCACAAGTTACGATTTATCTTCGTCACGCTTCATGTTTGTTCATGGAGGCATGTTTGCCATATTTGTTGCGTTAAGTTTTCTGCCATCATAAGACGTGGTCTATGATCGTGTTTTCCGCACCCATCGCTGCACAACCGACAAGTGATTTTGTGACACATTGACAACGTCTATCCGTCGTGTCTTTATGATACTTATCGAGCTCTCACGATAGCCAAATTTCACTCCACGTTCCATCTTTGTGATGAGTACTTGATGTTCAAATTACCGATGGCGGCCGGAACTTATGTCACTAACGCATGTTTGTATATTTACCCCAATGGCATTTCAACGACTACTCGACGAAACAAGGACAACGACAATATCACAGTAGGCCCTGATCTAAATTCCATACACAGGCTCCTCTAATTTTCTGAACGTACCTCCATGACCAACGCAAGCCGACAAGTAGCGGAATAATACGAAGAACGAAAGAGCTATTCTGTTTTTCTGAAGTCCGTCCAGAAAAAACAATGACCTCAACTACCCCATCTAATAGAACAGAAGCCATAACGATAACAACTACGGCCTGGGGTGAGTAGGTTAATTCGCGTCCTCCGGCGTTTTTTTTGCTCGGTCGCTCCAGACGTTATCGCCGAAATACAGTTGTTGTTGTTGTTGTTTATATTACTGACAGGTAGCGAATGCCGTGGGAGAGAGCATACACGGATTCCACAGTGGCACGCACCACTGAGTACAGTTAACGGACTTGTCTAACTTGCCGACCTTCAAGTGAAAAGGTACTATTAACAGTTCCAGCAAGAAATGAAGGAATGGCACTAGCGGTCCACCCAGGTATGCTACTATGGACTAACGCCAACAATGGCACTAACGAAAGAAAGAAAGCCAGAACTGTTCACTACCTAAAAGTTTCGAGCTCGAATTTTCATATCGTTGCTAAATATAACTTGCAGCTTACTACCTGCATGGTTTTACACTGCAAGACAAAAACAATAAATAATCACAATGACAGTTATGTTTATCATATATAATGCAATTATGTTTAATTATGTATGTGGAGCAACTGATTGTGCGAACATGCCCAGAATAGGGGAGGTAACAATGAGATATTGGCCACCAGGTTGCGAAATACGGTGCTAATGGAAGACTAATTATTATAGCTTCTGGCAATAGGCCACGGAACAACTACACATATACAAATATTATAGAGTTGGGGTGTCTGTGTAACGCACATGAAGATGATGAGAACGGCGGCTCAGTTCCTGCGCTCCTGTCATGCCGCGACCATTGCGAAGTACCACCGTCTGCTGTTCGCGCATAAAGTTTCGATTGTTCGAAAAGTTCTCTTCCTCTGTTTTTGCCGAACGAGCGGCAGTAGTGGCAGATCAGCAACAAAATTGCCAGAGTTTATTGTCGATTGACTTTAGCGGTGTTAGCACGACGCTAAAAAGCAGCCCCAAACAACGACGACGGCAACATCACAGCTTTAACGTCGCCTTGCAGTAGCAGCAGCAGCAGCAGCAGCAACAGCGGCGGCGGCGGCGACAGCAGCAGCAGTAGCACCAGCAGGACAAAGAAGACACCAGCAATTATTGACAATACTGCGCAACACAGCCCTTCCATCCATCCATCGTATATGGCTATATTCATTAGTCCTTACAGCAAACAGCGTCAATTCGTGGGTGCCGTCAGCGGTGCTGTCGCCATTTTTTTTTTATCATCAGCGGCGTCGCCATTATCGCGATCATCATCATATCCTTGTTATGCCCCAAAGTTGCTACTGGTGTCAGGTGCTTCTGCAATAAGCAAGTTGCTGCTGTTGCCATTGTGTAATGGCAGCTGGCCATGTCCGGCCGATGCAACTCCAATCCAGCTATCCAGCCACAACTGGACCGTTACCCACGGCTAAAGCAACTGTGAATGTCAGCCGTGGTGACGCTGCCTGGGTGCCCTCATGTCCACTGTCCGCACGTTCGTTTTAGGAGATACAAGTACCCTCTTGCTACTGCTGCTATTGGCAGTGTCGGGCCGTCGTTTGTAAATGGTCTCTGCCCGTTGCTGTTGCACCTCCAGCTGTTGGCACAGCCTAATGCTAGCGAAATTTTGCAGTGAGATGAAAATTCACGCATAAAAAAAGGACTACACCACAACGGTAGGCGACAATCATACCGATATTTGTACGTGCATGTAAGGCGTATAGGAAATGTGCGAACATGCATACGTTCGCATGCTTGCTAACGGTACAGATATGCACAGCTGGTCTATGTTCTGTTATTCACTGCCGTCGGTGCAAAATAATGACTTTAATTAGCGACCAAACGACACTACTCGGCGCCGGGTGGTCTTGCCTATTTATATTTAAACAGCGAAATGCGAGTTTCGAGTGAACTACTTAGCTGGCGGCCCGACAATTACCCTTGCAGTGCACAGCCGATATTATTATTCTAGGAGTCAGTTCAATTGTGAGCTAATGTTGTTGTCAACTGTTCGACGACCGTTTTCTAGTCGATAGTTTCTACAAGCTGTTCTAGTCGACGCTGGCCAATAGCGCACGTGATTGGCAATAATAAAGAACGATTTAAGGGGAGTCGACTTGTACGCACGACGTACGATGCCAAACTCGCTTTATTCTCAAGAAACAGAGCAAACATTTCGACAGCAAACGCTTCAACCTAGATAACACCTACTTGTTCATCGGTAGCACGGAAGACACTTACGTATGTCTCTATTCCTTATATGCAGTAGGCTGGAGGTGGATATATGGCGAGATACGATATACCCAATCGGTCCGTGAATTTCGACCGCCGCATTTGCCACTTCGCCCGGCCATACAATTGTCCCCGACACACAGATGTAGTAGGCGATTATAGCCGGCTGAAACAGGCGTGAAATCTTCGAGCATGGTGAAAACGCGTGGGATCAAACGTTGGGTGAGCAAGCGATTCTTTCCTCGTCCCGCTGTACCGGACTTTGTTGTCCTGTTATACTTTTAGCACAGTTGCTAACGCCGCGACATAGCTGCTGATCGTCATCGTAATCGTCTCATCTAGCGTAGAGATACTCGTTACATTTTTCGATCATACACTGCTTGCACACTTGCGCTAGTTCGATCCGTACACGTGTGACGCAATCTAGCCACTTGGAACGCCAAATGCAGCCATTAAACTGTAACTTTAGTCATCGCTCAATAGGAACATTTCAATCCTTTGCTGGCTCCAGTGAAATACAGATACGAGGTACACTTCTCTGTGCAACCTGCTACACCGTCGTACAATAATACATAACATGCGCCTTCGAAACCGACTATCACTGAAGCCGCCGCCGCCGCCGCCGCCACACCATCTTTTCTACGACGTTCCTAAGCATGGTTGAGGCATTTTTTTAAAATGCCGCTCGCTCTCTGTTAACTGGCGAGCGCACCTGTATATTAAAAGGTACACACCTGTCTAACGATTGATGCTGTTTAAATAGGATCAGTTAGGCTATAGAAGCACAATGTGACTAACAACAACACATTGCTAGTCTAAACCAAAATAGTTGCCAGCAGCTGGCTTGTCACCGCTACTTGTTACCTGTACATGGCTACAATGTGCAACAGGGTTCGTTCAGAAGTCCACAGATGACACGTACTGGCTATGGTCACTAGCCGTTTAATTTTAAATTTGTTTACGTTACATAGATGTCTTTTTGCCGATTCGGTCCTATCTGCCAGTCGTTACGACTGTTTGAACGTGCGTTCGTTCGCACAGAAACACCAATAACACTACAGAATGATGAATACGCGAAATGTATACTACTTCTAATTCTATCTATTGGAAACTACCCGCCTACCTCAATTCGATGAGTAACGCTATCCGTTGAAATAGAGTTTGCGGCTGCCGTACTCGTGCAGGTATTATTAATACTATTATTATGACTGGTATTATCGTTATCCATGTCGATACAAGTATCCACGTTGGTATTGTTCAGCGTTTTCGTTGTTGCCGATGCCGGGACGCCGCATTTGTCCTCATTGCCGATGTGGTTGTTGTGTTTATTCTGTCGAACCCCAAACAGCGGAACGAGCGATGGTTGCCTGTTGATGGATCCTCGGTGGAACTCCGCGTCACGACATACACGGCCGGCTTGTGCTGCTGCTGTGTTTGTTGTTATTGATGCTGCTGCAGAGTGGTCGTGGTGCGGTCGGCCTCCAGCAGTTGCTGCGACTGGCTGCTACCGATGGTGCTTTTGATCGTTGTAGGTTTCTCTGTCCCAGACGACTCTTATCGCTGCTGCTGCTGCTGCCGCTGCCGCCGCCGCCGCCGCGGTTGCTCCTACATTGAGATTGCTAGCTGGAGGATCGCTAGATAGACGCCTGAGATGGGCGGCTGGTTAGCAGATTAGCGGCGTGCCATGAGCATGGCAGAAGTGGCAGGACGGCGCGCCCACTTTCAACATTTATAGAACAGCACCACTACGATAACAATAACAGCAGCGAGCAGATAATGCAAACACGTAATGGTAATCACTGCAGCTTGTTTGTCTGCTGTATGCCTACAGTTTAGACGGAGACGGGAGTACCGATCTAGATCCAATCCTAATCGGTGCTTCGCGCAGCTCGTTTGATCGACCGATGAACAGAGAATGAACACACCGACGAACAGATCAATCGGATTCGGCTCGCTTGTCCGTACCTACCACCTCCGCTGTTCGCTGCTGCGTCAAGCTCAGTTTGTAGGTCACTCCTGAATCTCTGCAGTGATATTACTAAGCGTATTATATACTAGCTGGACAGTCAACTAGCTTTGTGGTTGAACGAACTCGCCTGGTCGGCGATCATCACTCGTAGTTGTTGTACCAGTAGGCAAAGCGTAAAGCCACTGTCGACGTTATTGCTGCTATTGATTGGTATCAAGTGTCCTAAGCGACGCTGGCTGGCTGGCTGGCTGGCTGGCTGGCTGGCTACGAAGACTTTTTTCGTCGTACACAATCACTCGCTTTCATGCACACACTGAACTATGTAGAAAGGACTCCAGCGAACTTGAACGTGATTGGATTCTCGCAGTCCTTCCTACTTCACGTCACATTGCCACAAACTCCACACGTTCCGTGGCACTCCGAGCACATACAATAATAGAAGAAAGTGCCCAATGACAACAAAAAAATTAGCGTCGTCTTCACGTCTAGATATTCCACATAGTGAAGCGGACAGTTGCTCTCACTTTGACGGTACTATGATGCACTTCTCGTCGTGACAAGTACGTCATGGTAGCTAGGTTTCATACAGAAGCGAACACATTGTGATTGTGATCACTTAAGATTGGTGCGTGACCAAACTGCCGATAGCTTCTTGTCGTCCCTTTCGCCCTCACCCATTCACGCCTATTACCAAATACACTCTGTATCCGTACGTGGTCCAAACACTTTGTAGACAGCAGCGCTATCAGTAGAATTTGTCACTTAAGAGTTGGCTTAGAAAACGACTGGGTAAGCACAAGCTGTGCCCTTCCTATGGCCCCGTGACATTCTCCCGTTGCCGTTTGTGCCTCCGGGGTAAATACCGTTCTTGTCAGAGCAGCCGACTCAGCTATACAACGAAGGATTGAGTGCTTTTTCAAGCGGGCGTAGCTATCAAGGATCTGGTCCGTTATCGGCCTTTTACGTAGCAGAACAGATCAAGCCAATCTTAAAGATTATCACTAACTGTAGGTGTGGTCGAATTTGCCAGCAGCAGGTTCAGCTAGCTACCAATCAAGCTACTATTGTTTTAGAAATTTGTCAGTAGTCAGTGAAAAATCCTCGTTCCGCCATTCACAAACTCGCTCATAGACTCGGTGTGGAAGAGCCAGGTCGAGTTGAACTGGGTAGCATTGCTCCTACATTGTAATGATCGCCGCTGTGTGAGCCATCGTCGCTCGAGACATCACCACTCACTGAGTGGCGTAGAAGCAACGACTCGCACTTATAAATCGTCCGTAATGTCGTACTGGTAATCGTTGCAAGAGCTGCTAACAGCAACTCCACCGAGCCATGGCCGTCGCCCAGCACTAACGGCAAACGCACACAGCAGTCTTATTACGAATCGCACGGTGCTTTTTTCCGTGCTTCTGACCGTAGAAGTTCTCTACGATGTTTTTCTGGCGCCAGGTTGCTTCGAGGTAGATTGACAGAGACCTGTGTGCACACGTCTACTGTACACAACTAGAGCTCACGGTAAATTCACGGCTAGGGATCCAAGCCACTGCTGTGCTGCGTGCAGGACAATCACTGCTCAGCTCCTGCTGATTTCATTCGTTCGCGTAAGCTAGCGACCATCATTGATCTCAGCTCCGGCGGTCCGTTCTTACTTTGTTGCTTACGTCTGTCTAGTTGTCTACTACAGTCGTATACCATTAGGAACCATCTCTTCGTACCATGCTACGACCGATGTCGCCGCTGCAGCCACCGCCTATGCGATATTGCGGCGTGAGCTGTCTAAATCGAATTAGTTTGGTAGCGCCGCTAACGCGCCGTTTTCGATGGCAGCGGTTAGAAACGACAGCGACGAACGAAGAGCACGGCACAGAAAGAGACGTGGTGCAACACAACAGTAGAGACGGACGAACGCGGAACAGCAGAAACGTACCGTTGAGTGACTGCGTGAACAAGCGAACGACTGAGCGAGTTAATAACCGTCCGTCGCACACCGCCATCAGCTGCAACACAGAGCATCAGTTCCCCGCTGCTACCGCTTCTGCGGCCACAGCTAATTCTGCTGTGACGATAACTGCTGCTGCTGCTGTTACAACAGCTGCTGCGGCGGCGGCTGCTGCTGCTGCTATTAGTTCTCTGCTTCTTCCAGCCAACAGGAGTCAAGCACAGCCACACAAGAAACGACCGAGTACCGTGCTAGCAACAGCAGATCGGCAGCAGCAGCAGCAGCAGCAGCACCGACCACTGTGAGCCACAGACGGCCAGCCAGGAGCGAGGCGGACAAGTTGCTAGCACAACTAAAGCGGCCAGGCGGGGAGACTGAGCGCGACTGGTACAGCGCTGCCTGTACCCGGAGAGACTCGCCGATTCTCGACCGAGAATGGCCGGAGCGATCCAGTGCTGTTGCTACACTCACCCCCTAACGCTGTGTTGTTGCAACTCGTGCCAGCAGAGCTGCTGTACATCGTCTGCTAATGGTGGTCCGATAAGCTAAGTCGTCGGTGATGGCCGATGATGTTTCGTCAGATTAGGGTCGTCTGCTCCGGGACATGCGCTAACCAGTTATATAGGTTCGTACACAAATAAGATCTGTCTGCTATCGGCCTTGCGCAGTAGCGATTAAACACTAGCAGTAGCTTAATAGTGCAAGAATGGCATTTGGGTACTACTACATCGTTGGAAATGGCAACAGCGGCGGCCTACCCGTACGAGCGACGATGAACGGTTCGCGAAGAGCACTGGTAGCAGACGACGCACTGGGTAGTGTAATATTATGCTGGTTTCTTATTGTTTATTTGTGGATCTGGCCGAGGAACGAGCAACAGGCAAGCATAGTAGCCAAATACACTCTCCTCGCAATGGCCGGACTCGAGTTTCGCACGCCGTTTTCGCACATAGGCTATTATCTCAGTTAATATAGTTTTTTCGGGTGGTCGACTGAGTGGCTTAGGATTGGCGGTGGTCGGTGTTGGCAAGTTTCAGCCGCGCGGGGTGAACCATGGTATAGCTGAATATTGTAAACCAAGCGAAAGCGTATGCCCGCAGACATGTTGGAGAGTCGTTTCCAAAGGCAAATAACATAATGGTCTACCTCAGTAGAAAAACGAGAGAAAGAGAGGGAGAACACAAATGGAAATTAGGAAAAATTTTTGGTTACGAAGGCCAGGCATCGTTGACAGACATTCGTTAAAAATTAGACACTTTAGAAGGTGATTTACGGTGAAATTTTTAAATCATTTTTTGTAAAAGTAGACTGAATGTCAGTTTGCCATTTGATTTGAATATCCGTATATGTTCTTTTCACTCGACTCGAATCTAAAGAGCTTGCGTTGCCTATGTGCATTTAATTGACATTTTATTTCCCGTTTGTACCTATAAACGACATCCTTATTTATATAATTTTATCACATTATTGCGCACGAAGATGAAACGCATACCGCTATAAGAGTGGTCAGTTCGTTGGTTAGCCATATGCATAGATTCATAGAAGAAACTATTGTGGTTTAATCGGGTTATTCCTGGATTTCTGTGTTGATTTAGATTTGTAAATAGCCTGATTTAGATGAAATTGCTATCATAAAAGCTGCCTGCAGCCAATTAAATACTTTATCGTAATAAAAAAAAATATAGGTTCATTGTGAAATACCTACATATCAGCTTCAGTGAGCAGATTTTAGGTTCCAAATTCAGCTCAGCATTTTTTTTCAACTGTAATTAGGTGGCCTGTTTACGAACTGGTCATTACCATGTTAGTGCAAATAATTTTATCAATCGTTTTTCCCAGTTACGACACGGTAAAATAATAGCTGACACATTCCACCCACTAAGTACCTGCCTGTTACGCTATAATTTCTGAAATTGGGCATAGTATAAAACATATCCTCCAAGAGTTAAGTATTTTAAGAAATACTGAACCTCACAGGAGATAAAGTAACAAGATGCACCCGTGAATGGCATAAGAATCAAGATGTCACGCCAGCATTTGGTCATGAGTTCACTTTATCTATTATTATTATACGTGCATGTGAGCAACTGATGCACAGTTCTGCCGCCATACTTGACGTCAAGCAGATCATTATTTCGGGTACATCCAAGTCAAATGACAATAATTGTAATTTTAAGAAAAGTACTACTGTCCTATTTCAACCGACCAACTGACTCACCTCTTCGTAGTCAGGTTTTTTTTTCGTTAGGGTAAGTTATAACGTAAGCTGTGTTCGTCAATTGTCCAATAAATAAATCAAAAATTGAATTCTCACTCTTTCTAAGCTAAAACTCTGTTTCAAACACATCATATATATGTACGAGTTACAATTTCTTGCCTTCAACTGGCGCAGTTAAAGTCCGAGCGCCATTATTATACAAACATGTAGTGTTCCCGTTAAGGCAACGATGTCATTGCTGTTCCCTCATGACGAATTTGGTCAGAAAGTTAGAAATATATAACTTCACTCAGCAGCCTTCGTAATAGTTACTGTAAACGTGGCAAAGTCGATGAGATCATCTGTCCAGAAAATGCCTGCTCAAACAAGTAAAAATTAGTAGCGCCTCAATGTGCCGTTGACGACCACAAGCATAAGGCACTGTAATGGTTCAAACCATTGTGGAATGAAATCACCGTATGGAACGACAATATCTATCTTTCTGTTGCACTATTTGAACAAACGATAGATAGTTATAAGTCCATCTGTGCACTATATAGGGATATCTTTTAAGTCAAATAATGTTTACTGGTTTTTCGTGTAGACTGTTCCGGACAAGTCGATGCAATAAGCTTAATTTTTAGTCCTCATGAGAGAGAGAGCAATGCTGAGAAATATCCGAAAACCCTTCACAAGAAATGATGAAATGTCATCAAATCAAACTTTCTCAAACGAGTTTTACGTTTACGGTTCACTCACAGGGATGTTAATGTCATGAGGTAATAGTGAGAGCTCAGACGCATGATTGTCAGCAATCCATTACTAACAGTGGCGTGACCCTAGTTACGGTCACCGCTTTTTATCGTCATTATTGCGATGGACGACCTTGAGGGTCTAGCGTGTGGAGCAGTCGATGCCAAATTGACTGACGCTTGCTCATCAAGCAGATATGGAAGAACCACATAAAATTCATCATTAATAGTCCTCTCAGCCATGTAATATATATAAGTGGTTGTTTTCAGTTTGTTGAATGTTTTCCAGACGTAGATGGAAGAACGCAGGGCGACGTGGACCGAAGTGACCGATCCATAAGGCGGGCGATCGCGATGTAGTATATGACGGTCACGAAGTCACGACCGCTTGCAACATAGACAAATTCATGAATAGATCGTGTGGCAACTCCCACACTAGGCTTGGGATACAGTGGAAGAAAGGAGTGCGTAGTAAAGGTTAATTTTGAATTTGTAAACAGAAACATCTTGACAGATATATTCAGCTGATTGCAATGCGCAGGTGTACTATACACAAATGCGAAGGGGAATGTCCATCGTAAAGGTCAATTGTTTGCAAATTTGTCTAAAATGTAATAGAAATTGGATAGTTCGTCTGGTAACGCACTGAAGTACAACCCGAATTAGACACTGTCCATTCGACCAGCAGACAATCATGTTGGCAGAGTTCGCTGTGCCGGTAGAAGAAGCGTTTGGAAAAAACAGGACTAAGTTTTTTACGGCCAAGATCAATTCGTTTGCGTTTGGGAACAAGCTATCACTCGGGCATATTATCCCGGGCGGCATTTTTCGGGACAGGGTCGCCGCATCACCTGCACTGCCAAATGGATGACGGAAGGTTGAATAACCCTTACCAAAGCGGAAAGAATCAGTGATAAACAAATTTAGCACGATGATATCCCTAAAACTTTATAATCGCCTTTGTACATATGGTCGCACAAAAATTAACGACGAAGATCGAATGAGACTGTAGGAAATCTCTTTCTAGAAAAATAACTAATTGACCGAAGAAACTCGATTCGGTGGTAGTTCGTTCGCAATATGCCCTTTAAGAGACGTCAAGTATATAAATAAAGAGAACAGAAAGCCTAACCTTAACAACTAACTGTGGAATCTAACGAGACCGTCTAACGAGAATCGCTGGCGGAATCGAAAGTATATTGCTGGCGGAATCGTAAACATACTACGCTATTTACCGTTTTACACTAAATTTCGTTAGACGAATTCAAATTAGCCAGTATACGTACCATGAACATCTACTAAATAATAACACAATTATTGTATTATAATCAACTGATTTAATATAAATCAGTAGTTCCTTATTTATAGTAAACAATTACCGGATGAAACTACCTACGTGAGAAACAAACTATGAACAGCAGGATTAGAATACTCGCCTGTGATTCTATATTTCCTGCATCATGGATTTATTTGAAGTATTTATTTTATAGCACAATACAATCTAGCTAACGTTCATGAAATAACTAAACCATTTTAAACGAGCGCCTCAGTGTTAGCCCATTTTATAATTCAGTACATTTTTATTTGAACCGGAGGCACCTAATTCGTATGGCGTATCGCATAAATTCGCTGCCGCTCAAACACAATTTTTAAATGTGCGGCAGCAAATTGTTATACTAGTCTTTCTTAATCAAAGAATCAATATATACGCGTCTTGTACTTTGTTTCTTTTTGATATACAGATTAATGTAATACCTCATTATGATAATAAATAGGCCCTTACGGCGTTAAATTTCATTACTTATGATACACGAATATGCAACTACTAATTTGCCTTGCTTCTCTTTGATTGCCTGATATACGTTTTTGTAATGCACCACTCAGACACAAATCTTTGAAGTGTGTCTGATATAACAGTTGGTCTAAAGGTTTTACAAAGAGATTGTCATTATCACAACGGCAGTCCAAACGTAATTTCTGCCAACGTGTCAGTTTGCATGTCATAGCCGACCTAGCTCATGAGAATGTCATCATTGTTTTTTATTCTGCAATATGACATGTGTACAAAGTATTTTTTTACATTTTTTTTATCGCAATAGCCGCAACTTGGTCTGGCGCGAGTTCTATTTTCACTACGTTATTTATGTCTTCTTGCCTTTGACAGTGCCCGGTTTCCTTACTTGTTTTATGTCTAGGGTCCTAATCTTTTTCGGTTCGACGATGAATTGTTGTTGTCGTCGTTCGTCTATTTTTTTTTGATAATTTTCGCTTTTCGACGGTCTTTTCTTTGTAGCAGTTGTTTTTTTTAACACTGTTTCCTGTTTTGCCGCGGCCTTGCGGTCATCGCCTGCTGAGGGTCCATCACTTTCAGTTGCTTTTATGTAGATGTCACATGCCGTCACCCTGCAACCTGCTGTCGTGTTTGTGAGTTGACGTACTTTATTTTTGTCGTCACTGCTTTCACTTGCGATGTTAACGCGCCACACGGTAATCACTCCTTCGCTGGTGGCTGTGACGAGGTAATGGCATCCCATTAGCTCAGAAGGGCCTGCATAAGCTACACATTTTATACGCGCTCCTGATGGGTCGGCATTGAAGTCAACCAAACACGACGGAGCCACTCTGCCGAGGTCATCTCTCACTGACAGATCGAATATGTTCACCTGAAAGAATAAAGCACAACAAATGTCATCATTATGATAATGACATTATTGAGGACTGCCGCGATAGTGCAATGAGTAAAACGCTGAGAGTAGAGAACCTGATCTCAAGTTGGCACTCAGTATTTTTTTATCAAAGGAAAAGGAAACGCGAAATTGTTGAGCCGACAACTTTGTTTCTGAGGTCATTATATATCTCTGCAAAGACATTTAATTCTGCCGACCCTTTTACACTCGATGATTGTTCTCTTTACTAAGCTAAACATTGCGAGTATGACGTCCGGTACTGACACTGGCGTATACTAAACAGGCTTAAGCGATCTATCAAACAGGATGTCCAATAACAAACTGCTATCCCAATTCTAAGAAAATTTGTCCTGAACAGGAAAGAATACCAGTTTTGTTTTACAGGTTTTTCCGAAACGAACTTTTACGAGTTTTGTCTAGGATAATTGCTCATGTCCCGAACAGCTGTAAACTCAGATGTTAGATGAGGACCTAAGCTGGTAGCAGTAAATATGTCGCTTCAACTAGCGTAGACAGAAACGAATAATCTATCGGCTGTAACAGACCAGAAACCAGTTGAAAGTATCTACCTTGCCCTCTTCACCGCTCAGCACGAGATGTCTACCGATAAATGCGAGATCGGATATTTTTTTGCCAAAGTCAATGCTTCCCACGATTCCACCGGCGGCGGTTGAATAGATATCGCATTGATTTGCATGGATCACCAAAAAAAGGTCGCCAGGTCCGTCGGTGGGACACCACTCAACACGTGAAGCCTCCACCTTTAACGTGGACGACAAAGTAAAATCCACTCGTTAGTTTCCTATATTTTGCATATAACCTCAAATAAAGTGTCTACTAATCGTGCTTGAAGAAATAGAAACATTAAGTCCTTTAATGATGTCTACCTAATGACTACGTTAGATCGAACCAACTATGGCAGCGTAGTGTAAGCTATCTAAAAGATTCGTCTTAATTCAATGAAGACGTACTTTGATATTCGTGATAAACGCGGGTCGACCCTTGACCAGATTCCATGTGTATAGAGATTTATCTCTAGAGACTGATAGTAAAAGTTTGCCTAAAACACAAAAAAGTTGCGTATTAAGTAATAATTACCGTCGTTGAAAAATAATTCTATTAAATGGGCAGATGGATTCAAATGAGCAATTGTGGCTTTCTCATAACCCTTTGCTTCTTTCAAATTAAGGTTGACGTACAATGTGTCCTAACTAATCAACAGACGGTCTGCAAAGTGAACGACCAGCGAGCTTATTGTGCGAAATTCACTATGTGTGTTTGATACAATGAATGTTTGAGTACTTTGTACCTCACTTGATTCTCAAATGATACGCGAATAATTAATTTGTAGCGAAATCAGATTCCTTTTCAAGCACTTCTCGACTGATTTCAAACTGAATTGACAAAACATCGTTAATTTACGGGGCACAGGATATGATATGAACGCCGCTGAAGGATAAGTCATTCCTATACACACCTGATGAATGGACGGCAATATCATTAACGGCTTGTTTGTGCCCCTTGAGCGTTCTGAGACACTGCCAACTTCCTGTATCCCAGACGCAAATTGTGCCGTCATCGCTAGCAGAAAAGAGATGTGTCTGGCCATGAAACCTAAAGGTCAATAAATGTATACGTAAAATATTAATTTTAACAATTGTTTTTTCAGTGAACAATACTCATAGTTCAGTGAGAATATTCTCGTAGGCCATATAACATGAGCCGTACAAAGCATTCTATGCCATCTCTGTGCATGAAACGGTAATGTTCCTATGTACCAAAACGAATATTCTCTGACAATATATATGCAAGCGGCTGGCTATATTCTCATCTGGCTATATCAGCTGCAATACACAGCTCAGTTAGCTCGTACATGCCGTCTTAAAAACAAGTTTGTTTACAGCTGTCTTTATGAGCAAAAATATCTTTCTATCGACAAAAATATAGCCAACCTGAGCGCGTTGATTGTTCCGTCATGCTTCACAAGACTTCCCATCTCCTTGCGACTTGCCATGTTATATAATTGGATAGTTTCGTCTGAGGAGCCGGATGCCATGAATTTGCCCCCACTCGCCACAGTCCGTACAGACGCACGATGACCTGAATTCGCAAAGCTCTGCACAAGACAAAATAGGTCATCCTGCAGCCTTCGAAATGAGTAGCCAAGAACAAAATTCTCGTACGTTGCTGAAACGTTAAATTTAGCTTATATTTAGTTACAGTTGATTTAAGATCAATTACTGTCTTTACTTTAAGGAATATATTTTGAATCGTAGTAATTATAGCGAAGCGTTATAATTTGTTTGACATTTTGATTTCTTTTACGTTTTCTCTTTACGTATACACCTTAATACTATTAAAAATAAATTATTATAAATTCAAGAAAAAAAAGTATATTTAATGTTTAGTCTTACATTATTTATGTTTATCTGAGTATTTTTATAAACTTCGTGTTTGTAATTTTACTCCAGAATGAAACGAAAAAAACTAAAAATTAAAGAGAGTACTAAGACTTTCTGAAATAATATGTACTATGTTTTAAAACATTGACATTTCATGTATATTGGTAGGCTGGTTAGTTTACTCTCGAAGTAAAACATTTGTTACCGTGGCTCAAACTCAAAACGCCGCTTTTACTTCAAACTTCTGTTATGCAGATGCCTGGCTGGTGAAAGCGAAAATCTACTATAAACTCTAGTCACTTTGGCGTGAATCGTATCTCTAAAAAGAACTGGAATTTCGTGATTCATTTTTGTTTTTACAACTATGGTACTCTTTATCGTCACGCAAACATACCCAGAACGATTTCAAATTCTTCTACGCCTTCCAGTAAAGGCTTTGATAATTCCTTCATTTTTACCGACGTCTCCTCACTTCACAATCTTAGAAGATGTTCAGCTGTATAAAAAGCCAACCGGGACATACGGGAACAAGACACCATTCACGTGCATTTTGTTTTGAAGAGAACGCGAAAACACCACTGCATTGTTTTTAACATTACCATAACCTCTCAATTAGGTTTACTTTCGCTACTTTCTAACCATATTAATAGGCGCTTCCAAATCCTAATGGAAAATAAAGTAACATGAATGATAGACTTCTATAAAATTCAATTTCTTTCAAAATATATCGATTTAGGTAGGATTTTACATTTTGCCATTTGGAAAAATGTCAACCCTTCACAGAGCTGTGTCGACGAATACGGCGTAGATTTCAACGTGTCGCTAAGTCCGGGCACAACATCTACCTAGTGAGCTATTTTCGACA